ACTTCCCCCATTTGGTGTGGACAGGGCTGAAACTGTATAGGTTAATGCATGACTGAGGGTGAATTCCTGGAGTCAGAATTGAGTAGACTGTGGTTAGAGGGACAGAAAAATCCTCAAACAAATCAAAGCTAAAGCACATTCACCTCTTACCTCACTTTGTCTCCTAGCAAGGCTATGAGCTAATCAAGGCAGAAATTAACCTCTTCATCATAGACGAGACCAGGTGTCACCGCAGGTGTAGTTTATATATAGGTGGCATAAAGTTTGACGAATTGAAACTGCACACGAACTTTATGTCCCCTTTATAATAACTATGTTGTTTCATAGTAAAATATAATAATTGGAAAGAATTGTAGGAACATCTAACCCAACTTCCTTGTCAGAGAAATGAGGAAAACGGAACCTAGCAATGTGAGTTATTCGACTGAGGATACACCAAGTTACCATATGATTCTTTACATAAACAAGTGCTGGGACAGTTGGAACCTGTCATTAGCTTGAATGGATTGCAGAATTGACAGCAACAAATGCATTTATATCACAGTGCAAAGCGCCTTCCCCGGGCTCCAGCCTTACCTAGAGCATCCTAGGGTACTGGGTTCAAAGTTCTACCTTCTGAGTTTCAGTTATGACACTAATACAACACCCTAAACAATCAGTTCTCCTGAGTAAGTGATGGTCACCCTCCACCACCATCTACTCATTGGGACATGCAGTAAAACATTACTAGTACCCAAAAGTTTACTTCTCTAAGCTCTATGAAGCAGAGCAAATTATATTCTTTGGATTGGAATTTTTTTCTTTCTTTTTTTTTTTTTGTGGGAGACAGTCTGGCTCAGTTGCTCAGGCTAGAGTGCTATGGTGTCATCATAGCTCACAGCAAACTCAATCTCTTGTGCTTAAGCAATCCTCTTACCTCAGCTTCCCTGAGTAGCTGGGACTGTAGGTGTCTGCCAACTGTGTCTGGCTAGTGTTTTCTATTTTTAGTAGACACAGGGTCTCACTCTTGCTCAGGCTAGTCTCAAACTCCTGAGCTCAAGCGATCTTCCCAACTCAGCAACCTGAGTGGTGGGATTATGGGTGTGAGCCACGCTGCCAGGCCTCTCTTTCAGATTATTAATATAACTTTCTAGCTATCCTTCTGTGGCAGGCTGTTCCTTTGGCTTGCAATGAAAGAGGCTCCTCTTCAGAATTCGGACCCTTGCCTGGTCATCTGACCTGTTGACTCTGGGTGTGGCCTTTTGGCCAGCTTTAGCCAATGGCACTTTAGCAAAAGTGAAGCAGGGCTTGATTGCCAGACCTTGACAAACTCCTGCACGTTGAACTCACCCTCCTGGAACACCAGTTCCTAGGATCCCTCCTTTTGGAGCCAAGTCTCTGTGTGAGGAGGAGTCCAACCTACTTTGTGAGAAGATGACTTTAAAGAGAATTGAGGCTCCAGGGAACATTCTAAGTGGGCACCCAGTAGACAGCCAACATCAGCTTGTTAGCCACATGAGTAAGCCATATTGGAAGTTGATCTTCCAATCCCAGTAGATGCCACGTGGAGCAGAGATGAGCTCTACTCAAAGAGCTCTACCAAATTCTAGGAGAGTAAGCGAAAAGATGATTGTTGTTGTTCTGAACCAAAACAATCTGGAATGGTGTCTTATGCATTGCTAGCTAAATGAAACTTTCTCTATAATCCTTCATAGCTACCTCTTCTTCCTTATGAATCTTTGCTTATA